ATTACTAAATACTTCTTTCAGTGCGTGACGCGAGTCCGCAGGTGTCAACGTGGAGTTCATTCTTCGTGTCGGTGTGCGTTTATCGCAAGAAATCTTAACACGCTAAATTCCGGTCAGTGGGCGACCCGATCTCTCGTAACATTATCCCAGTTACGGAGAAATCGTTTTCTTCGACGCCTCGATTTGTCTGTGTTACAGCTAAAGTCATTCCGGCTCAATTAATCGCCGATTCAAAGCGCGTCTTCGTTTCGCATATAACACCGTATGGCCAGATGCAGCTTTCATTAAACTCTTGTGAAATTAGCTGTTTGAGCACGCACAGTAAGCGTGCCGCCAAGTTAGCGAGCGCGATGCCGCGTTAGAGCGCAATGAAATTGAAGTCCCATTAAACTGCACACGCGAGCTATACGTGTGATATATTACGAGTAGTTAATTGTTCATTTTATTAGTCATACGACTATCACGTGCGGCTTCGATACAGTTCAAATCGTTCTGAAAGCCAAATTACAAAATTAGAATTACAAGACCATTCGCCATAAAAAGATGATGGATTATTAACTTGGTGTAATGAAACTGACAATACTAAATTATTGAGAAGGTCGATTAATTTGTATTTCTAATCAAAGGAGAAAAATGTTCGTGAATGTACAGTCGGCGTTATACATGCTGCACTATATTCCCTAGATTTAAATTTCTCTATTACAGAATTTTAGTTTTTCATCTGTACACATAAAGTTGAAATGATAATAATTAGAGTTATATATACAGGGTGTCCAAAACTAATTTCTGTTCTCTGGTGTGTAAGTAGAACGAATGAATCTGAGTAGAAAAGTCCTATACCCTTTTGCAAATGACAAGCAAATGATTGAATTATTAATTAAAGTAGCCTCTATAAATCACCATTTTCAGTCACTGATAATTCGAAATTTTGCACCGACCGGAACAAGCGATTATCAGATGGAGCAATGTCTGGTGAATACGCCGGGTGTTGAAAAACGTCCCAGCCAAGATTTATTATGGTGTCTTTTGTCTTGGAAGCAATGTGTGGCCTGGCATTGTCATGCAACAATTTCACAAAACGTTCTCCTTTGTCAGTATACAGGCGTTTCTGTTCCAATTCTTGACTCAAGCGGATTAATTGGCGTTGGTAGCAGTCCGCAGTAATTGTTTTGCCCGGTTCCAACAGTTCATAATAGAGCACGCTCTTGATATTGTTGATGGTTCGCCGAGATTTACCCATGACTTTTTGTATTTCGGGTTGTCATAGAGTATCCATTTTTCATTGTCCGTAACGATTTTCCACGAGAAAGACTCAGACTCAGAACAATGATCTCAGTTCGCGTATTTTCGGTACCACCTTCGTACGTATTGTAGCTGACGTGAGACAAAATTGAGATTAAATCATAAAAGAGGAATAGTACAAGAAAAAAAAAAATTTTTAGAGTTTAAGTAAAAAAATAATTTCTCCTTGAATTACACAATGAATTAATAAAATGCTCTACAAGAAAATGTTATCTTAATAAATTCCTTTTTCTACATGCTGTATCATTTTAATATCCCATGCGATGTGGTTTTGAAGCTTGTAATGTGCCTTTTATCGTCCCAACCTTACCTGAGAAGATCTTTATTAGATCGTAAGATTTATGAAGCGTGAAAACGTTATGTGGAGTCGTCGCGACGCACAAAAAATTATTCACATGATATGACCCTCGTCTGCTTTCCACGCGCATTCTATTAAGAAACCGCATGATGGATAAATTATTTTCTTGCAAATGTCTGCCTCTTTCTTTCGTCAGCTATACAGAAAAGACTTTACGTTCTTGCGACGGTCGCATTTGTAGAATAAGAAATACTAACTTGTCACAACTGACGATCTCATTTTTATAATAAGCTTATTGTTAGTGAAGTGCATGAAACTATGATTAATAATCGCCGACATTCCATATGCTTGCGTAGCTAGGAAAAAGAAAAATAGTGGATTTGTTTTTCTCGACTGCCAGAGACGGATAAGCACGGAAATGAACGACCTTGTCAAATATTTTATGACATGAAATCCAGTACAGCAAGATTAATACTGAAAGTAACAAATCAATTAAAATGACTGCTTTTAAATTTTCATTAAAAATATACTCAAATTTATGACTTTCCATTTCAGAAATTTTCTGACGTTTATTGCAATATCCGAAGAATTAAATTTATCAATTTGTTTTCCCCCTCTCCTACCCTTTTTCAAAGTTATGTACTATACATAAATATATCGAAACCAGTTGTTTTGACTGCTTCCGGTATATGGGTATCGTACCTGAGTAAAAAGATGTGATTTCCAGTATCGAATTGATGTGATTCACGCCTCTAAAAAGAAGCAGCATTTCTTATATACCAGATTGATGGTAAGTCGTTATAATGAAAATGAAAAAACATTTTGTTAACAAAACTCAACTTTACTCTTCATCATAATTTCCTTTTAGCTCAATACACCGAGCCCAACGAGTTTCTAGCTTCTTTAAGCCTTCCAAATAGTAAGAAATGAAGTTTCCTGAAATAGAAGTTTCCAAACCACCAAAATATATGTCTGTTTCCTATTCAACTTCTTTATTTGAAGCACATTTTTTTCCCTCGAGCCATCTTTTGAGATTTAGAAACAGGTAGATGTTAAGCCAACTTTTCAAACTCCTCTCCTCGTAATATGTGCGTAAAAAGTTTACTTCACCGTCAGTTTGTAACTTATGACGCGATGCTTCGCACTTCGTTAGACCATCTGGTTCGCGTGCATCGGCCGTATCGGCGGTTCTGCCCATTTCAGGATGGTGTGTAATTATGATCGAAAGCAATCGCTGTATGTGTCATTTACGTATAGGGTAACGGCGTATCGGCACGAACAAGTGGGTTAGCAAAAAGATAATGGTTAGAAGCGATTAGCCGAGATCTTACCGTACATACTGCCGCAATGATAGTGAGCTTTTATCATGCGGATCATGCACCTGGTATGACGGGTCCGGTTTCCCCCGGTCGATTATATTCATCCGCAGTATCATGTCGCGGCAGAGCGAGCACGTGGCGGTGATCTATAATGCCGATCGAATGCGATTGTTCAACAAGTATATGTGCGGAATCGACATACCGTTCGACATGAATTTTATCCGTCCGAACGAATGTTATATCACGATGTCCTGATTTTTATTCAGTAAGATAAATTAACGACGAGATATCGGGATTTTGTTCGGGCGGGAAAGTCCCGCAGAACTCTGGAAAATTTAACTTCGACGTAATATTTCCGCATATTGGAACGTTAAATTTCCTTCACGAAGAACAGTTTCAGATTCGACGCGAGACAGGCAAGTAACACGTGTTACGCGTTTTAAGCGCCGTAAATGGCTAGAGTTTTTATGAACGCCGGTGACGTTAATAAAGAGATGACGGTTTTTGCGCGGCGTAATTTATTTGACAGATCCGCAGGTTAAAGTAATTGAGATAATTCCTCTCACATGATATTGCGCAATTTGATTGGAAAGTATATCAGACGTTATAGGAATTATGCACATGGAATTGTGACGAAGAAATATTTTTTGCAAATTTACAAATTGCGACAGCGTTGAAAGGGCGTTCATCGAGTACGTGTCGTTATATTGCGATAAAGTACGTTTTTAACGAGAATCACATTTTCATCGGATAAGTGGACGCAGCTTCTGCACGCACGGACAGTTTCAACGTATAAAATATACAGTGTGTCAAGGTTCAATTGTGCAGATACTCAGCGTGACGAGAATTTACCTATTACCGTTATGAATATTGGATATCAAATTAATGTAATTGCTGCTTTTCCCAGGCGCGAAATACTTTGCATATAGTTCGATGGTTGCGCACATACCAATGAAATTGATTGCATTAAAGGCAATGTTTGCTGGTAGATAAAATTATTTAATAATCATCCATTTGAATAAATCGATCATCTTTATTTTTATCTAGACTGAAGATATACAAAATATATTCTCCTTCATCTGAGATAAAATAACATGATTCATCTAAAAATTATCTAAAATGATATTATAGTCCATATTCTGAACTCACTTTTCGATTAAATGAATGACATAATGTGCGTTAAGCCCATATCAGACTAGGAATTGAAGATTAGATTTAAACGAATCAACAAATTTCGATTTTATCTCCTTTGGTCTATTCTTTTTAACCGCATTGCTGAACTGGTGCAATAAGTTAGAGCGAGACAAAATACACTTGTCTCACTCTAACTATTGCGCCAGTTCAACAGTACATTAAAAAGAACAGACCGTTTCAATTGATCAATCCACTTTAAAACCATATCAGATTGTTGACTGTGAAAGAGCAATCAATGATTATTGGCCTTTTTCGTTAGATTCTTAAATTTAGAGCGATTACGTTGACGAATTACTTAACCGTTGTGCAATTTTATGATCTGCGTAATTTTAATTATAAATTTTTATAAAGTCTCATGAAAACAATATTATTTACAAAATTATCTAGATAAATAGCGCTATTTACTTGATCTTTCATCTAGATCAATCGAAAGCAAAATCATCTTTATCTAAGATGCTTTTTCGGATCTTCATCTCGTCTTCATCTAGATGAATATGAAATCATCTAAAGTAAACACTGATTTAAAGAATTGTCGGCAAGAACATAAGCATTGCATGAGCAAGAATTGGAGTTTGTGTAGCTTGTGCTTGAATCGCTGAACTACAAGAGGACTCTTTCGCGTTCAAATTATCGCCCTGTGTTTATCCGAGAATCGATCGTCGGTAAAAAGGAAAAAGTCGTAATTTCCCGCAGTTTGTCGTTAATTTCAGGATTTTATTAACTTATCGATGACAACACACGATCATACGCGCCGGATATAAAAATAATTGTCTCTTTATTATACAACATCATAAATTTTGAACGGCGGATTTTATGTTTCATCCGATATAGCGGGATTTACGTGGGACTTGTTACATTCTTCGGTAACATATCATATCCTGTTTCAGGCTTACGTGGAAAGGGAAAAAGGTAAAGTGGTGCTTTACACAACTTCGCTAGGCATCGTTAGGGAGACCTTTACTAATTGCATGAAGATGAAGCAAATGTTGTGGACAAACATGGTCAAATACGAAGAAGCGGACTTATTCCGCGACACGGAATTACAAACCGAAATCAGGGATCGCACCGACTCGGAGGTCGTGACATTACCACAGCTCTTCGTCGATGGTCAACATATAGGAGTACGTATATCTATAATTAATACTTAAATAATAATAAATAAATAAATAAACGTTAAGGGGATATTTCAAAGTTGACGATGACAAACATCGATATAACAGAGATCATTCTCAAAATGTTAAGTTACATAAATAGATACACGATAGTTACTCCTTTTGTAATTCTTGTACATATAGATTTTACGTAAATAAAAGTGCGATATAAATGTAAGTGCGATGAATGCGGTATTCTGTTTTATCACACTTAACGGAAAGTCTAATCAAGATATACAAAAATTGTTCTGCAAACTTTTCATATCTTTTTAGATCTCTAAATTTGAAAAGGTATAAAAATTTTCTTTGAAATTTTCTGAGTTGGAGCTTTGATTATGTTCGATTTAATTATATATACAAGCTACAGGATTTCTGTGAGCAAAGAAATTACGCTAATTGACAACTGGAGATGTCAATTTTGAAATTTTGAGTCGTCTTTGTCACATACTGAGCGATGCTTCAGTCTGTTTTTGCGCGTATCTTTACTGTGTAAAAATTTATAATTATTTATAATACTGTGCAGTCGACGTAAATTTTGCAGAAAAAATCGGTATTTTGCCGTTAAAGTTTTCTAGTTTTTATTCTTTTAAAGAATCACGATAAAAGATAAAAGATGAGATCACGATAAACGATAGATATCGGTAAAGAACAGATTTCAACAATTTAAGTTGATTTTTCCGATAGTATAATTGATACACCTTTTATTGCGGGACGTTAGATAACGAAACGTGAACAGCTGGGGTTGAGCGTTCCGTCATTTGCGTTTGACGTTCGTCAAATAAATTGTTTCGCTCTTAGTACCGATATCGATCTCCCTCCTTCGTGGGTAGAATAATTTCTAATAAGAAAAGTTATATAGTCCACATGGTACGTTAGTTACTGGTGTTATGGCGGATCCTTTCGAATCTGCTTCTTTCTCCACCTCCTCCTTCTTCACCTCCTTCCTCTTATGCCTTGTGAAGAATTTGCACAAGGCCGTGACGTGCGTTACGTAATCGGGGATATTCGACATCGAGAAAGTCGGGGAAGATGGATGACGTGAAATGTCAAAGATAACCGTCAACGGACGGGTGAAAACTGAATAAAATTACGAATGAAAATTTGAGAAATCGGGGTTGTGTCACACATGTGCGTAACGCAACACAAATGGACGAGAATGTCACGTATATTTCAATTTGTTACGTTGTGCAAAGATCATTTTTGCATTTTATCGAATTAAGTATTTGAACCGATGCTATTACGCGGAGAAAATGCTGTTGATTCGATATAATTTCCAACAGTGGCATAATTGGACTAAATTTTCTTGATTCAATAACAAGTATCCCATACAGCATAGAGGCTTGTAGTAACATTGCTGCAACGCTGTAACATTGCATATTGCAGTGCAATATTGCAAAGACATTGCAAAAATATTATTTTGCAATATTTCTTCAATAATATTGTTGCGATATTTCAAAACATTCTTAAAATAGCATAATATTGTAATGCGTGATCGGTGCGTATATTACAAGCTATGTTCTGATATTTGCAATTAATACTGAGAATTTATAATTACTTACACTGTTAATACCCATCCAAGTGAAAAGTAAATCGGGAACATAAAATACAGAATTGACTATCATAATCTTGTAATAACATTATGATATTGTTGAGATTCAAGAATATTAAATTTTTGTAAGAAGATAATATATTCTTGCTTATATATGAAACATATGATTGTGTCCATTAAAATATATCTCTTGATAAATTTTTCCGTGTAGAGGAAAGTTTCATGTTACTCCTATAAAAAGTCTCCTGTTATTCATATAAAAATAAGCAGATTGTTTTGCACGTGAACATTAAACATTTGTTGGAAAGGAACTTAATCAAAGTAATGCTGAATTAATATAATTTTTTTAATTTTTCATCCAAACATCTAATCTAACATCTAACATCTAATTTTTCAAATTAGAGACCCGCTTCCGTTTCTTTCAACAGATATACATATTTTTTGGAACCCTGATATTAATTTTCCTCGAATACCTTTCTCTGAAGCCTAATACATCAGCCTTCCTAACAAACAAATGCACATATACATTGAGTAAAAAATGTACCTTTTGCCAACGGATCATTCGCACAGTTATTTGATTTTCTCGTCTCTGTGTCGCGCGGTGTCCGTTTCTCTAAGAGTTACTTCCAGCAATCGATAGTTGGGAGAGTAGATATATGCGTAAGTGAAATGTCAAGCTATTTGATCCAAGGCCGCCAAGGGGAGAATGCGAGGTGAGATTGCCTGCGTTACACCGCCTTACCAGTCGCTGGCTGCCTGTAGCACAGAAGTGTGCTACACACACACGTAAACCTATCCGAACTGCATTCCTATCTCACCGCGTCATACAATTATTTTATACACAAAATTGCTGAACAACATTGCCGAAAATCGACGGAACGTTTTTCACTCCCACTCTTCGTCTTACTGCGCCTCCACGATGTTCGACCTTGTCTTTCTTTTCCTCTTGCTCATCGTCGTCGTTTGCGTTTGGCTTAACAAATTGCGCCGTGTTCAGTGAAAGGAATACGTGCCGGTCACAACTACAATCGCAAAGCAAAACTTGTGTCACGTTACATCATGTGTGAAATTACAAGAGACCCACACGCGGATGAATGAGGACTCTCTCATCACTTCCACCTTTTTACGTCGTTCACGAATCCGAGATGTCTCCTCAATTTTGAAGATCTCTCAGTTAAATTATCGCAATACAATTAAGTTACCCGTGAAATATTATTTTTTATGATCGAAGCGAATAAAGGAGCTACATTTCCCTCCCTTGAATAAATCAGGGGCGCGTTAAACCCGCTACAAACCCGAAATATCGCGTGCTTCATTAAGAGCCTCATTAACAGTTGCGTGAAAATGCATGACGAAGCCATTACGGGCATACGTGGACGCGCACAGCTGCGTATTCGCAAAGAAAACTGAGGAAATGAGATAAGATTCTTTTGTACACAGCCGCATTCCACGACGACGAGGTCGAGAATGTTACATCGTCGTCGTATGGCGAGCCGCTACGACACGTGATTTTTCTATCCGACAGAAATAAATAGATGGGATTTTTTCGACGCAACTTACATACCGAAGTTCCGTTTATGGTATTTAGTGTTGGGCGACACCGATGATAGATGAAATGAGTGAAGCGGAAAGAAAGCGTCGAACAACCTGAACGACTTAAATGTCGCGCTATTAAATGCCTGCATTTCGCAATTTTTTTTCTTCTCATTTGTTGCAGGGTGTCGACACAGTCGAGCGACTTAACGAGTCGGGAGAGCTACGCCGTATACTGGAACCTTACCAGGTAAGCTCATTTTATCGTCACGAACCGTAGCATATCCTCGATATCCTTTTCGCGAGCTGTGCCACTGAAGGGGATGCCGAAGTCGATGACGAACCTGATAAACGTCCGTACACCGTAAACCGTTACCGTTCACTGAAAAAAGGATTTGGTAATAACTACTAAAATTTGGTGAATATTTGCTGATCAAATATTTGATTATTGCAACCAAATAATTTAGTCCCGTACACTAAATATATAATATACGGAGTTACTGTATATATAGTATGTGAAACTAAGTTATTTGGTTGCAGAAATCGAACGTTTGGTCGGCAAATATTCATCAAATTTTAATACTTCTTACCGAATTTCTTTTTTCGGTATAGAGATCTTCAAAATGTTATATTACGCAACATTGACAGGATATTCTTTTCGTATTTCTAGTACGTGTAGATTTTAAATGTAAATAATGTGAATGTGATGTAAATGTGAATTGCGATAAATACGCTCTACTCTGTTTTACCATATTTAACACGGAAAATCTAATCAAGATATATATATATATATAAATATAATTTTCTACAAACTTTCTTTTTAAATGAAGGAAACGTATCTTCTTAAGCCTCTAACTTTAATTAAAAGGGTACAAAAATGTTGTTTGAAATTTTCTTGATTGAAACATGGATATATTTGCTATGTACAAATTACAAGATTCCTGTATCGGGTAAATATTTACGCTAATTAATGTTTGGAGATGTCAATTTTGAGATTTTTAATCGTTTACGTCACACATTTATACAATGTTCCCATTTATTTTCGCGCATTTTAGCTGTGTATAAGCATTTATATTTTTGTGCATCCAATACAACGTAAACTTAGCGAAAAAAATTAATATTTTACCGGTAAAGTTTTCAAATATGGCTTCCTCTTAAAATAAATGTACTATCTTCGTCTAAGTGAATAATTAATAATTTATCGTCATTTGCCTATCAACTTTATACGACTGACGTATTGCAAACGCATTCCTTTGGGCTATTTTTAATATAAGACATAAGAATAAGTTCGATCATTACTTTTAATAATCGCAAACCGTCAAGCATCACTTTATAAATTTGCGTAAGCTTTAGCAATTATCGGCATAATTATAATAATTAGGTCATCCGAGCGATAGAAATCCGTACGTATAGCTTTCGTCTTTATTTTAAATCCATATTAACAAGCTTCTACTTTAAATAAGAGACCGTAAACGAGAGACCGTAGAATCAGTATAAACCAGTTTACTTCCCGATATTAAACCTGGTTGAGATTAACTTAATTAATCGCGATAATTTTTTAGATAATCCTCACTCAAACTCAAATTAATTAAAAAATATTCTTACGTAATATTTTATAAAAAAATATCTCACGTAACGAGATTCAATTTTAAATAGTCAAATTGAAACTTCACAATATCCACGCTCGTCATTATTAACTGATTTTCAGTCGTTTAATGAACAACTGCTAAGAGTAGTTTGCTTTCTTAAATCGAGAATGAGAAGAAGAATAAGATGATATTCTGTCCACGATTTTACACTTTCAAGCAAGTATCGAGCAAGTATATTATTAAAAATAAAATAATTCGCGTAATAATCGTACTGCATGCTCGCGACGTGTTCATGTTCGCGTTCGCGAGGAATCGCGACTGTTTAAAGCAGATAGAATGGTGGATCGTGTGATGAAACGTGCTTGTGCACACAACAGTAAGTAGTTACCAATGCAAGGTTGCCTTTCACTTTTATCTGGAAGTACGTTCCTCTCTCTCTCTCTCTCTCTTTCTTTAACCGCCATCTTTTTCGCCATAGTGATCGTAAATTTAGGTGTCGCGCAGTCCAGATTTACCTTGCTGCAACTAAAGGTCGTTCACATCGTCACGTAGTCATTGTTACTTCTGTCGTGTGCGAACGGTACTGCTACATATATCCTATAAGCGCGTAATATTATTTAATATTAAGTAATATTCTAGGCATTTTCTTAGAATATTAGACATAATACACTAATAATATTCTAGTAATATTATTTAATATTAAGTAATATTTCTGGAATATTAATAGATGATTATATGTCCACTCCTAATAATATTTAAAAAATAATATTATTTAATGCTAATGTAATATTATATATTTTTTAAATATTTAACTCTATGTATACAAAGTGTCCCAAACTAATCTCAGTCCCCGTGGTGTACAAGTAGAATGGGTGAAACTGAGAAGAAAGGTCCTATGTCATTTTCCAAGTAATACGCAAAATTTCGAGTTACCAATGATTGAAAATGGTCATGTATAGAGGTTTCTTTAATTAATAACTCAACAATTTGCGTATTATTTTCAAAATAGTGACAGACCTTTTCGTTCCGAATAGTCTAATTTACAAGTATATGACGACTATTGTACCTAATAACAAGTTCAAGATTCAAGGGTCAAAGTTTAATATACTGATGTCTGTCGTTAGGTACAATAATTGTCATATATTTATAAATTAAGCTACTCTGAACAAAAAAGTCCTTTACCATTTTGCAATAACATGTATTTGTATAACATGTAAATTTTTGAGTTATTAATTAAAGGATCCTTTATACATGGCCATTTTCATTCATTGATAACTCGAAATTTTGCATGTTATTTGCAAAATGGTATAGGACTTTTCTGTTCAGTTTCACCCGTTCTACTTCTACACGACAGGAACCAAGATTAGTTTGGAACACCCTGGATATATAATATATATGTATATTTTATTTATATATTTTTTTCTATAATATTATTATTTTATTTTTTTTAATATACCAAGAATATTATGTAAAGTAGACATATAACATCAACAAAACATTCCTATAATATTAAAAAATATTACATAACATTCTTAGAATATTAGAAGAATATTATTTTAATATTGAATAATATTCATGTAATAATCTAGGAATACTACGCGCTTATAGGGTACAGATTTCCTGAGGTCACGTCAATACTTACCGACGCAGTTCTCCTATATTTCTTGACACGAAAATCCAACGTTTCTTTCAGTCGATAAAGCGTCGGAGTATAAAATATTCGTGAGGGACTGAGATAACATTTCTGACAATTATCGCGAGTATGAACAACGTGACGCAGCTATCGAATTTTTTCTCAAAGTCCAGATTTACAAGCGAGTGAAAGGATTAATTATTAACGATACATTATGATATGTTGACTTAGCGCGCAGCTTACGTTTCTCTTTTTATTTCCGCATACGTCAGTCAAGTGCATCGTCTCTCTCTCTCTCTCTCACACTCGCGCGCGCGTGCGTGTTATTTAATAATAAACTAGTTTAAATATTCGGCACGAGAGAGCGGTAGCTATAACCGAACTCGTTACGACGTGTATGTCTATAAAATCGATTTGCATTTCAGGTAAAATAGACTCGCGGCTGGTAGCAAGTAAAAGTGAAAGTGAAAACTATATAGTTTCGTAACGCCGAAAAAGGCCGGACCGAAGGCTCGCTCGCGAACATCGTTGTCGTGCGCGCGCGGAATTTATTTAATTCACCCCTGAAACATCTGCGCGATTTGATGCCACGGTGATGATGTAATGTTGTCAGACGCATAGACGGATGCTCGTCGATAGACGGAAACAAAATTAGGCTTAAATCAAGAATAGATATTCTCATGAATAAGCAAGAATATCATACATAATCTTCTTAGGAGACTTTCAGTCTTGATCTGATTGAATGTATATTTATTTACTTATATTATGATGCAAGTATTATTTGAACTCAATTCAAGACTAAAATCCAATGAGGAAGAATCTTCTATATAATATTTTGTTATAATATTTTATTATACAATCGATTATAATATTCTTGCTTATGTATGAGAATATCTATTCTTGACTTAAGATTAATTTTTTTTTTCGTGCAGACTTAACGTGCGCGCGCACGTCGGAAGATCTCAAAGTTCCATGGAGATTTTTATCCGACATTGCGTAACGACTCTGGATTAATTGCTACCAGGGACCTGGACCGAATGAAAATATCGGTCCCGTTTCGGTTCCGGTCCACTGAAATATTTAATAAAAGTTCTGGTTTCGGTTTCGGTTTTCCGGACAATGAAAGTACTGGTAAACCGTTTAAATTATGGTTTTTTTTCGGTTCCGGTTTTTTAAACTGTTTGCTTACGTTTTTTTCGGTTCCGGTTTTTTAAACTTGTTTCCTTACTGAAATTTTTATTGATTTAAATTATATATATATATATAATATGTACAATAATATATTATAAAAAAATAATAATATCACTTCCTCGATATAGATGGTATTTCATTCTATTTCTATCTTCTGCTCTTAAGTTTTTTTGGATATATAATATTATTCTCGTTATTTGTAATCTCTTCTTAACGGAACATTTAAATTGTGTAGATTCTGAGAATATTCGCAGAATATTTCGATGTTCTCCAAGATTTTTCAGAATATACATGTCCCGTTAACGTAATTTGTACAATTCAGAATGACTGTCATTCTATTTATCTCAAAATTGTAATTTATTATTTCTTCTATTAATCCTCTTCTGTTCAATATCGTATACTTGAAATTTATTTTCTATTTGTCGCGAACTGTTCAAAGTTTTGCTTATTCATGAAAGCTAGAATTTTATTATTAAATGAAGAGAACGATTAATTACAATTACAGAATAAAGACCGCAAACCAAAGAAAATGTAACGGTTCCGATTTCGTTTCCGATTCTGTAGGCTTTATAAAATTAAATTAAATTAAATTAAATTTCGGCACGGTTTAAGGTTCCGGTCCAAGAAAAATACCGGTTTCCATACGGTTTTCGGTTTCGGTTCCGATCTGGATCCCTGATTGCTATCGACCATTACTATCTGCAACATGCTCATAATTCCACATTACGGAACGCTTACGTTTCAGTGCAAGGACGCGTGCGTTGTTTGTACCTACTGCGGCGGATTCCAGCGGCTGCTGTGTCCTGTCTGTCACGGCAGCAAAAGGTCCGTACATCGCAATGACTTTACCGTGGAATTCGTCGCTCTAAAATGCGCCAAGTGTGACGTTTTCGGTATGATACGCTGCCCGCATTGCTGAAGGGAAGACTTCGTCCGTGCGAGGGGATCCCACGTACATCTCTGCTCAAATTTCATTTCTTTTAACCTATGGCCACCTACTAACTTACATCTCTATTTAAGACGCTACGAGGGTATATTATGCTATGCCTTAAGGAACGATGTAAACACATACATACGTATACATACATACACACACTACATACATACATACGTGCGTACGTGCGCGCACGCGCACACGCACGAGTAAACGCATCAACACTAACTAATCGCGTAGCTGTGCTGTCGTGCATGTTGTAAAATATCGGTCATAATAAAAGTTTGTGTAAAGTTTTGTAATTTCTGTGTGTCTTATTAAACCTCCCCCGACGCTCTCGAAAGCCGTCTATAATAATTCGGAAATTTCATTCAGCGTCCGCTATTCTTCCTAAGAGAATAAAATCAGAGGGAAACTAGAATAAAACCGTGAAATTTTCTCTTCGGCTTTTGCGTCAATTTCTGAATTTTGTTGTCGCAGCAGTTAAAGCAGACTGCCCGCTACATAGTGTTTGACTTAGATGATTTCACATTCATCTAGATAAAGATGAAATGAAAATCCGAAAAATTCATTTTAGATCAGATGAAAATGATTTTGTTTTTAATTTATCTAGACGAAAGATCAGATAAGTAGCGCTACTTATCTAGATAATTTTTTACACATATTGTTTTTATGAAAAACTTTATAAACATTTATAATAAAAATTACGCAGATCATGAAATTGCACAACGGTTGAGTAATTCGTCAATGTAATTGCTTTAAATTTAAGGATATAACAGAAAAAACCAATAATCATTGACTGCTTACTCACAATCGATAGTTTAATACGGGCTTAAAGTGGATTAATCAATTGAAACAAATGGTTTGTTCTTTTTAGTTTCTCTGCTGAACTGGTGCAACTAAAAGGAAGAGACTGAAGAGCCCAAACCGAAATTTGTTAGTTCTTTGAAATCTAATTTTCAATCCTCGTCTGATACGGGCTTAATGCATAGGTTCGTATTATTCCATTCATTTCATCGAAAAGTGAGTTCAGAATATGGACCATAACATCATTTCAGATCATTTTTAGATGAGATATGTTTTTATCTAAGATGAAGATGAATATATTTTATATTTCGTCAGTTTAGATAGATAAAGATGATTTATTTATTTATCTGAATGACTATTTAGATAATTTTATCCAGATACCAGCAAGCACTGCCGCTACAGAATAAAGAATATACTTTCATTTGCCCGTGATCTAATTAAAAGGATGTAAAATAGCGGCGCTCTGTATCGGTAATCTTACATTCGACGCATCGCGATAATTAAATACAGCACGAAAGAGAATTTCTCTTAAGATATTAAGCTGCACCCAGCGATTATTCGTTTCTACTAATGTCTCATTCAGCGTTTCAGCAGGAAAATGTGAAAGAGCGAGATATATAGAATAGATTTAATATCTGAGAAAACGCACTTGCGAGACAATAATGTAACATTGCACTCCGTTCAGTTGGGCGTGCGGGAAAGAAAGGCGTTCTCACGCTTTGTACTGGAAAGAAACGAGCGTTGAGTTCTTTGTACTCAATCGGAACGGGCGCTTTATGCTCTATCGCATTTAATTACCCACAGTGCAATTACACAGTCAAGTGAGCCAAGATACTTCGTCTAGGACAAAACAGATTGCTGTGAAAATTCGATATTAATTGCCACTTCGTCCGCTGACGTTTAGATATAGTAATGCTGTAGTTACTTTATGGGGCAACGTTAAATAAAGGTGAACGTTACTTTGTTGAAAAAAACCAGATAGAAATCCATATGGAATCCCACGGTTACCCCTAGGGATTTGCGCTAAAAATAGATCCAAGTAGGAATTCATACACGGGAAAAAAGAATATTCTTATTTTGAGAAGATCCGTATTCTCAACATGCATATGTTGAAATAAAATTATATAGTGTTCAATAGATGAAGTAAAAAAATATAATATTCTCGTTATTCAAGAATAATTTTCTTCAATTGAGAATAAAGAATATTGGACAAAAAAAAACGATATCTTCAAAGTAAGAATTACAATTTTTTAAACTTGAAATTACATTATCTTTATTTAAAAATATTTCATTCTTGGAGAAAGCAGCTTATTATGTAAAATTAAATTATTGAAAGTTTCTATAATAACAATTTCTTTGTCTTATTTCCAAATTGAGGCAATAAAAAAATGAGAAAGTGTATATCGAAGCAGAAGTCTGGATAGTTCAGTGGTAAGAGCAGACACCCGGCAAGCAAAAGAGTTCAAATCCGAGTTCAAATCCTTCCAGCAACTCCGTCTTTTGGATTTTCTCCGACTTTCATAAGAGCCGGATTTTATATTTAAGATTATCTTAAGGGTATCTCCAGATACCCTTATACCGATAATAACATTATAAATAACGCGTTATAACTTATCACCAATCTTATTTTTTATTTATATATATTTTCATTTGTATTTTATTATGTTATACACACATCATAATAACAAAATAATATAAATAGTTTGTGAAAACTATATTTTTTGTACATAATTTATGTGCATATTATTATAATTACGTACATATACATATAATTTATTTTTAACTTTCGTCCTTTTACTTTCGTCCGTTTTTACCTGCTACTAAAAGTGAGCTTACTCACATAAGAAGACAAAATTGATTCGTTCCGAAAAAATTAAAATTAAACATAATTCTAATTTATTTATAAATATTTTAGTTTATTCCGATGAATACGTAAGGCTTCAGCTAATCAGAAAATAATCATTATTTTCTTCAGCGAAAATGAGAAAAAATCGCCAAATCTACATGGGAAAAGAATTAGTAAAATAACAAAATATGTCGTTGATTCACGTCGTGAATCATCAATATCATGACGTGTCTCAAATATCTGCAGTTGATTCAATTATATTTGTTATTGATTTCAATAAAATTTGTGTTGAAGGAATATTTTATTTTAATGAGATGTATAGAGTAAGATTTAATAAGATACATACAATAAGATATATTATACTATTTCTGATTTAATAAGATATAATATTGCATTAAAATCACGTTGAATTGAAACAATGTTTCTAAGTTAAAAATTATACATTACATTATAATACAATCACGGAAATTGTAAGTATGGCTGAAATTGTATAAAATACTTATTAAATAAAAAACGATATATTGTTCTTTCAATTTTATTTTAAATTTAAATTTTATTTAAATTTTATTGAAATCAAAAACAAATATAGTTGAATTAACTATAGATATTTGTAACGCTTCGTGACATCGATGTTTCATTAAATCAACGACATTTTTTGTTTCAACTAATAGTTTTTTTCAGTATAAGAACCTTTTTGTTAGCACTTATTTATTAGCGTTACACAAAAGTTTTAGTCTTTCTTCTCATTCTCTTTTATTTACATATAAGTATTATAAATCAATCCTCAAAATATTTTAAATAAATTTCCCTCATTATTTATAACCTTCTGCTATCTTTCTGGCAAGTTTCGGATTCCATTGTGAAAGAAAGACATTGATTTGTAAGCAATGGAAATCGTTAAGCTATTTTCTTATCTCTGCCACATCTCGAAAGCGCTGTCCGGCTAAAAAGTGCTGCATCGACCGGAATAAATGAATAATCCGAAGATGTCAAATCAGGTGAGTACGCCGTGTGCGGAAGAACTTGCCAGCCCAAGTTAAAGATGATTTACTGAGTGGTCTTTCATTCGCTCACTCTTTATTCTCTTCCTCTTTCTCCAAATAAAAACACATTATAAACAAGAGATATAAAGACACTACGGAGGATTTCTTTACATATAAAAAAAGTATATCAAAATGAAGTAAGAATGTCAAAGTCATCATTAAGATAATTTACGTAGAACAATACCATTTTTTTAGCAAAATGATAGTTATTTAAAACAATTTTCCTTATGGACTATATGTTTAGTAATAGTTACCAAATATATACCATTTTCTACTATCAAGATATGGTATTAATTACTAAAGTTTAATTTAGTGATGTAAAAGTTTAGTTCAAACAACTAAGTTTTGATTATTAAAATTATATATTTTTTTAAACTATATACTTTATCTAATTATATTATTTTGTAACTGTTGTCGGAAGTTTGACCCGCAACATTTCACCGGATTATTTAGTAACAGTTACTAAATTTGGTTATATATTACCAAATCCTTGTTTCAGTGTAGTTTGTGACGCGGCGTTACGTGCAACAAGTTTCATAGCGAGTATCAAACACCTATACGTATCTAACACGTGCCACGTCACATGGAGTCTTGGTTCGGGGTCGGAAAGGTCAACATATCAATCTCTGGCTCCGATAGCTGATGGAAGAATTTCGACACATTAAATGTTACATACGCGAGCATGAATACAGAACTAATCGATTTAAAAGTACAGGAGACGGAGTCTTTCCTCTGTTCTTTTATCGTAAGTAGGAACGTTACCAATTTTTCAACTAATCGATTGTGACTCATCGCTAATCCGACAAGATTTTACAAGTTTTGTGTTTTAGAGTGTATAATAACTACATACAACCAGTCAAATATTTATTTACACACTCACACACACACATTAATTTAATATTTATGAGATACTTATTATTGCTTTTGTTATCGCGTAGCAATTAATACTTGCGTCAATATGATTCGATGTATTAAATTCACAGTTTTGATATCCAGACGAAACGGAATTAATTGTTTACGTATTGTTGCACGCTTATACGTGTATTTGTACGCAACATATCAATTAAAATGGATATATTGTTTTCTTTTTCATCGATATTACGTAATAAATGTTATTATATTCGCGTTGTGCCGACACTCTATAATGCGCGCCCGTAACGTAATTTAATATATCAATGTGAATGTTTGCGAGTTTCATGCGTAAAATGAACGGCACATTCTCTCAGAGCACTCCGATCCTCCTCCATAATCTGCCGTAATATATGCAAATCGACATCATATTTTTTTCAGAAAGAGAAGCGTGACAAAACATTCGCGTAAGTTATCGCAATTTAAGACATTTGTGCTTTTGCGTGCGTCTCCGTGCCTCTCGCGTAACAAGACTCAGAAGGGGACGATTTGAAGGAGCAAAGAACCTTCAGCCTCGATCGTGCGGAACACGCAATAAAGCGGAAGAACCTGATGACGCAGATATCGCAGATACTCGCAAACGAAAAGACAAGTCTAGACGAGGGGCACCGGTTGTTAAAGTTTTCCGCTGGACTACTTAAGACATCGTAGCGTGAATAACTTGTTGGCTGAGATTCGAAGATCTTTCCAGCGCACGACAAAGGGTGCGGACTTAACGATCGCTTCTCGTGCGAAAGGCGGCACCCTTGCGCCACTCGTGGGAGGCTCAAAGGCAAACGTGCATTGCAAATATACCGACGCGGAGATTCCCGATTTTCAATGGAATATACTTTATATTATAAGCGTGTAATATTATTAAAATGTTATATGAATATTATTCAATATTAAAATAATATTCTTATAATATTCTATGAATGTTATGTAATATTTTTTTATAATATAAGAATGTTTCATTGATGTTATATGTCCACTTCGCATAATATTCTTGACATATTATAAAAATGTTCTTACAGTATTACACAAAGAATAAAATAATAATAATATATAAAAAAATATATAAATAGAATACATATATATGTAACTTTTTTTAGTATAAAACATATTTTTACACAAAATTTTTTCGACTTTATTTATATAATAAAACAATTAGAATTGCAATATATTTAAAATAAAAAACTACAATTATATATGTTATTTATATACTTAGAGTTGAATATTAAAAAAAAATATATAATATTACAATGACATTAAATAATATTACTTTTTTAATATTATTAGGAATCGATATACGACCATCTATTAATATTCCAGAAATATTACTTAATAATAAATAATATTACCTGCTTATAGGGTATGTGTGTGGAAATGTAATCGAACTTTGATTCACGCGTAATTAATCGGTTTCGCTTTGTGAGAGAAAAGTCAAGGACGAAAAATAGAGAGGAAATTGTCCAGTTTGAATCGTCTAGTAGACGAAATTACGCGCATAATATCAAAAGTATTCCGAGGTTTCCATGCACATTTAAATCACTCGCACGCTTCTCTTCGAGCTGCACGACATATCGTCCTGTCGAGAATGGCGTAACTTGGGTCTAAGCAACGGCACAAGGATTATATAGGAAAGTCTATAAATATTATAAAACACGCCTCGGAATCCCTCTACCGCTTTTTGAATTTTTAGTTGCGCATAAATCGATTTCGCAATATAACACGTGTGATGTTATGACGAATTAAGGTAATGCTGCGGAAAGCAGCGCGACAATGGTAGAGAGTCATTAATTGAACAAATTAACAGATTTAATTAACACGCAGGCTTCGAAGTGCCGCCAGAAGAGTAAATCGGATAATGGAACCGGGGTGAGAGAAAGCGAGAGTGAAGAGAGAGTTGAAAGAGAGAGAGAGAGAGAGAGATATAGAGAGAGAGAAGGGTGGTAATGAATAGAACGTAGCAAGCGAGAAGGAATTATTATCCAGCGCAAGTAACGAACTCATTAAGCAAGAAACGTTAAATTAATCTTTCGAAACTGATTGATTTTGCGGATTTTATAAAAATTTGATATAATATTTTATAAACGTTTGTAAACTGTCACTTGATAATATTATATTTTTAAATATTAAAATCGTACTGTGGAAACATTATTCTTCCTAATGTTTCGATAAAATATTGTTAACAGTGATATTGAACGCAACATTAAGAATACTACTACATATTTGAAGTTACATATTGCAAAATGTCATCGTAATAACGCAGTGTTAATGATTTCCCGCTTACTGGGAACGGGTAGACCTTCACCGAGACTGAGTAGCCTCTGTTCACCGCACCCCGCTTAGTAGTAGCAGGCGGGCAGGCAGGTAGTAGCGCACCGTCGGTGCATACATGCGTACCAGCCGTCGCGAATAACAGTAGCAGCAGCAACAGCTAGCTAGTTGAAGGCAACCCCTACCGTCCCGGCGGAAAGAGGCCCCCACCACTACGACCACCACCACCGTAACGCTACCACTACCACCACGTCACAATCTCTCGTCTGCTACGTTCACCCTGGCCTAGAGGGTTAGCCTTGTTCCTGCGATGACTTCTCGCGAGGGCGAGAAGCGCGCGGCGGGTGGGGAGGGTTTGCACGAGGGTCATGAAGGGCGAGAGATGGGAGGACGAAAGAGCGAGCGAGCAAGGTGAGGGGGATGAACGCAGGCGCGCAGAGGACGCGATAGGTGGATGAAACGGCGAGCCAAGCATTCCGGCAGCGGCAGACAACGCGGCACGATCAACGCAGAACGAAAGATAATCGAGTCGTGGGAGGAAGAACTCTTCGCTTCGCGTCTCATCATCGCAAACGAAGCGTCCCCCCACCCCTCTGGTCGCTGGCACTCTCCCGGGACGGAGCGCACCCCGACGATGGGAGTCGTGAAGACAGCGTCGGAAAGTATCCTCGAGGAGACGGTGGTGCCGAGCGAAGAGGCGAATTATTCGCCGCAAGGACACGCCGGTAAGAGAGCGCGAAACTTTATTCTCAGTTTTACCATCAAGGTCGGGCGCGCACAGACCCCACCTGGACGGGACTCCTCGCGGAATATAAGTGTGCATCCCCCCCCCCCCCC